AAACCATGAGAAACGGCCCAGAACCCGAGAAATGGGACCCCTTCCTTGCCCGTTGATTTGCGCATTGATGCGACTCTCATCGCTGTGCCCTCTTCACACTACGCTCTCTCTGCTATCTAATCACTCGCCACGTATAGACCGATGGTCGGTGGGCGGACCCCGCCGGCCGCGCCAAGAATGAGCCATGCTATAGGTCGCCGAGGTCAAATTTTTCGGTGCCAATTGCGCGTCAGTCCGCACCCTCAGGAGGTCCGCGGTCTCTCAACTAGGTGAATATTCCTCCTTTAAGTTAGAGCCTTCAGATCTGCCTAATAGGGAGTCGCTCGAGTGCAAACATATTTTTAGTGATTAAAGCGATTGATAATTATGGTTGTCACAAAATCGAGGCAGCACTACTTGCACCTGCTTTCTTGCCATATTGCCCGAGACTGGAGTGAGACTAAAGCAAACTCAAACAATTCCCAAAATCTGCAATCAAAACCATGCGAATTCGAAAAAGGTGATTACGGTAAACCTCGTCAACGTCGATCGAAGGTAGCATGGCTGTCAAGGGAGCGAGATGTAGCGCTTTCATGGCGAAATTGTATGTACTGATTGCTGAGCAGTGCTCGAAAATCGCAATGCCCCGTAACTGTTCAACCCACGGTTTAGCTAGTGAATCGGACGAGTTGTGTTGCTGCTAGCTTTTCATTGAAGATCTTTTCACTTTGAGCGCCTGCATCTTCCAATTTGCTTATGGGATGCGCTATAAATCGAAGCCGCTCATCCATGTCGAAAATTATTGGGGTAAATTGAGGGGTGCTTTTTTTGCGGCTTCCCTGTTTTTTTAGTGTACCATTTGACACCTCCACGTCCCTGTAAACCCATCCGAAACCTATCGTAATCGCTGCCTATGAATTTAGAACTGTATACGTGCACTTGCTACCGTAACTTGTAGCCACTCTGTATATTAGTTTAATAAATTGGCACCTTAGAACTTCGTTGATGTCAGGGTGTGGAATATGGATCTTTTTGCAGGGGTTCAAGCCCTAAGTTATCCTGCAGCAAGTGTTTGGCAAATTATGTTTTTTTAGAGCGAATGATTGACTTGTCGTTTATAGTAATCCCTCGCTACGGAATTCATTTGAAAAAATTCCACCGCAGTAAATCTGTGGCAACATTTCTATTTTGCCTCTAAGAGCGATTCTGCTCTCGTAAGGAAGCTTCACTGGATCGTAACCCACAGGAAGGAGAGATAGGGAATCGCTCTGTCGATGTTGAGATTCTGAGTAAAAGTGGTAGAAGTGCAAAAATCGAATCGGGTGGTACCGTACACCTTCCTAAACTCTGTAAACCTAGACATTCTGTAAACCTTCCTGACATGCAGCCATTTCATCGGTTTTTTATGTGCTATTGAAATGGAGAGGTGTTGTGTTAAATTTGGGGCTCAGATAGTCACAAAAAGTATAGTATTACAATAACTGTAACCTCAAACTCAAACTGGTACAATACCTCCCAAAGGGAAAGAGTCTTCAATTTTTCCTTGCATGTGGTGCGGTCACCCGTCCCTAAAGGCGTGCCCCTTAATCACATTGGTGTGGCTCTTGCACACGAATGCGAATGTATTGGTGCAAAAGTGGGCCGGCAGTAAAGAAAAAAGGAAAAGAATCCGTCAAAAACGCTTAGGTTAGGGCTCACTCACCTTCCTAATCGGCTGTGCTAAGGGAATGAGAGACTAAGCGCGGAGAGGAGAGTATGAGGAGAGAGAGCGCTACAGATGAGAGAGCGCCAGACAACAGCCTGATAAGAGAAAAACTGCAGCTTTAGCAGCTTACTTTGCAAGGCCAAGCGCTCTTGTCGGTTGGTTTCCATGCACGGTAATGCCACATTTGTGATTTTCTTCTAGTAGGGTTCTATAGTACAGCCCGTTCACACGAAACTCTGCCTAGGGTTGTGCCTTTAAAATCAATTTCAAAACGTGCTCTAGTTTGATTACGTCGATTTCTCGGGAGCAAATCTCTCATACTGTATCAGGCGGCTTGTCAATTGGCAGTTTTTTTGTTTTGTTGTAATTGAGGAGCTGCCTCTAATCATCCCTCAGTTATTGTTATCTTCTGCAAAATAGCAAAGCAAAGTTCTCCTTCTGATTTGTGGTGCAGAAACTTGTGTGCTGAATGAACAGCGAGTTTTGGTTCTCGAATTGGCTGTCTTTTTCTTTGACACGTATTCTCGTCCATTTGTTATTCCGTTCAGCTCGAGCTTAATTACTTCTACGATGGCGAGACGTTTGTTTGCTGACACTCTATGTCTGACCGATAACTCCCCGGATGGCACATATGAAACATCCACATTGGCCTCGCTGTGAGTTCAACAGCTTAAGTGATGATTCCTTTGTGGCGTAGATGTGACATCTTTTCAGGTACAACACTGCACTGATCGCCGTTCAGTACCTGCTCCCACTTCTCGTACTCTCCTGTGCGTATTACCGAGTGGGCGTGGTCTTGAGGAAAGACAAGAGCGTAGGAGACTCAATTCATGCTAAGTCGGTAGCGGCGAAGAAAAAAGTGAGTGAATTGGGACGTTGCATCGTGCATTCCAATTTCGATGACAAAAAATCCGTCTGGCTTTTTTTCCAATTGAGGCGTGTCGTCAGAAACGAAATGGGAAATTAATGTTCGTGTTTTATTGCTTGCGGAATGGCCGTTACGCTTCATCAGAAGACGCCCTCCATCTGACCTCCTGATCTTGGCTCAGGGTTCTTGTCATTGCAGGGGAGTTCGAATTCATATCAACTGCTCTGAGTAGTGGGGAGCAGTTGCAAGGGCTTGCAAATGTGCAAACAAGGCCTTAATAACCCCGCTCTTTCACATGGGAAGAGAGTGACGCAATCACAAGTTTTAGCAAAAAGAAAACCGTATTTCGAAAATGTTAAGTTAAGCGGAAATTATCGGCCGTTTTGACATATAACTTTTAGTAACTAAACCAAACATAAACAACAACAATTGAATAATCGAAAAGGTGCCTTTACCGCAGGCTTCGTTGGCTCTACGTGCAGATACAGCAGCATTTGGTTCGAAGCTTAACTTTAAATCATGTAGCATGAGCAGTCGGTGCTAAGTGAGTTGGAGGGACCACGCGCGGCGCGGCGTCTGTCAAGTGCAATGGCACTGAACATGAACCTAGAAGGAGCTATGTGCCAAAAATTGGATTCTGCAAAATCGCAAATCACAATGTTCATAGCCTTCTTCACCCTTCTACGCTCAGGCTTAGTCCCATCAGGTTTGAGAAACGACGGCACCGCGTGATCCCCCCCTTCCTACCCAATTTGCACTGAGCAATCTTTCTTGCTCGCGCTTAAGCTCGATAGTGGCAAACGCACAAAAATGTACAAGAGACTGCACTCTATCAGAATAGATCATAATCTTTGGAAATTATCAGTAAAAAATCGAACAGCATGATCCTGAAAAAACTGAAAATGTTCGCTTCATCCTTAATAAAAAGAGGTGGTTGGAATTAATTCGAGGGCACCAATGACGACGGTGAAAATAAATGGTTTTCATAGCCAGAATTAGCTCACCATTCATTGCATGTGGGCGTGTGGTTCGGTTACATGCAGCTCATTCTGCAAAAGTGTGGACGTCATTGTTAGTGCATTTGCGTGGTTGAAACCGCGTTCACATATTTTTTAGCTCCGCAAATCCAGATACCTCATAGAACTAGCCACACATTGGCTATATCACGCAGCTTCAACCGTGGGGTGTGGTAGGGGTTATGGACCGCGTAAGCAGTAGCACCTAGCTGAGGACGAATACCCAACCACGGGCGGGGAGGAAATCCCAACTCATAGATGTCCCCTCCGCTCAGGTACTGCAGCATGCGGCTCCTTTTGCGCACTCTGGGCGAGAAAATGATGACTTCAAAAGTTAGGGTGTCTGCAATATCCATTCTCGTTATCGTGGCTCCTGCCATCAATTCCACCAACTAATCAGAAAACCATTCGATAGCTTAGCCATCACATTAGTTATTGAATTATGGCCGACGGGGACAAAATAGTGAAATATTATCAGATATAACTCGAGAGGGCTGTGGACTTCACTCAAATCAAATGCACGAGTAGGGATCGAATTTGTGTACTATCTTGCTTGAGAATTAGGCAAGGAGTGCGGAGCGCTAGTGGGGAGAACAAAAACCACCATAGAAAAGTCTGAAATTTTCCTTATGAAGACGGCCGTGGTATGACGGCGAGTCATAGCGCTGCGGAGAGAGCGGAAATATTGTAGCGCCTCTTGCGCTTGGACCCCTCTTTCCCACTTCGAGAGGGACCAGTTCTTGGCACCAATCCCGACTCGTGTGTTCAATATTGTGGGTAGCAGCCTTTCGTTCACACATTATTGTTTTCGATCTAACACTTTCCACGTGTATAGGAGAAATAACTATCCCAAAACTGGATCAGGGAATCGCTTTCTCGAATGATACCTTTCGTGGCGTCACGAGCATTACACCGCCAATTAGAAAATAATACAAGGGAAGGGTGGTAAGTCGAAGTGGCTATGCAAGATGAAAAGTTCATCACACAGGGCCTTCTCGGGCACTGAGTTTGCATGTGTACTTTAAATGGGCCGATTTAAATCTGTGACTCTAGTCCATGGTCAGCGCGAATATGAGGCGCATGCGCTGCTTGGATGTGGAGTGGAGGCTTTTTAGTTACTATGCCGATCTTATGTCTGCGTGGGCAAGGGTTTGGAGCCCTTGATTTTCGGGCTTTTTGCTTTTTTTAGAGGTGCGCTCAATACGTTCGCAAAACACTTTTTCATGATTCGGAAAGCTAATCATGCCGAAGGTTGCTGTTGGCGAAGAAGTGGGACCGTCCCGAGAATTCAGTCATGGATACTTCTGATAGCTTATTCTTCGGCACACCAGACATGTCCAACTCTAATTTTATTGAAACTATGTAAGCAGACGTACACTGGTGTGCAAAAAGAATTTCACAATCATTGTGCACTGAAGTGAAGTGACTCTGAAGGCGACCATTGCGTGTGTGAGTGGCATCAAAAGAAGCAAAGCAATTGCGCTCGTAACGAGCACCGTAGGCGTTTTTTCGTCAAATGAGTGCGATATTTTTTCCGAAGTGGACACAAGGGACATTTTGGCCAAATTGGGATTCTTAATGTATTTGTGCAGAGAGGGGAAGGTCTTGCGATCTGCCTCGCTGGCTTTTTCCAAACGCTGATCAACATATCTCAAAAACAACCTAGATAGTATAATATTTAGTACTCTGATCACGAATATGGCACCGACTTCAAAGACAGCGACCAGGGCTATATTTCATACGTAGGTTCCTGATAACGAAAAGGTTCTGGCGTCAAATGGCGCTCGCGCTGAAAATGAAATTTATTTTTGTATGATTGGGCCCTTCCATTATACTCTCCAAAAAAGTGGATTTTCAACGAAAGACAGGCCGCTCCGCCCGGTTGTTGTAGTTGGGGCCTGCGTCGGGGACACCAGCGTAGATGAGCATTACTACCATGGCTTCCTCTGAATTCTCAATGCAAGATTCAACATCGATTTGGCTTTGGGCAGCAGAAATGTGTCCTGTGGCGAAATTGATCACAGCACAGCAAAAGTTAGATTCTAATCCACTTTTCTAAAAGTAGCCGGCTAAAATGTTTGCATAAGAGCGTACTAATGAAGATGGTTTGCGGAGTTGAACGAAATGAAATAGAGAGTAAGAAACGGTCGGAAGTTTCTCTAGTATCAAGGCCGCTTACTTCGCAGTATGCGAGAAAGAGGATAGAGGAACAAAAGTAGTGAGGCATGTCGATGAGAGACATGCATGATCCTATAATAACCGGGTGGGGAGGGGGAGCGTTGTAAGGTGGGGTTCGATGGTTGCAGGCCCGTAAGGATTAGCGCCCTAATGTTCTGAATAGGTGAGAACCCCACGACTTCCTGCGCGGTGTCTTTCCCACAAGTCGGGCGAATTCGGTTTGCGCTATAATAGCTACACCAACAGAAAATCACCACCTAGTCTAGCTTTTACCATTTTGTAGCATTTTTCCTCCTCTGATTCCATATACGGGGAAAATCTCTCCTAATTTTGCTCGCAGCGTTGCTAGCGATGTGGTAGACGATTTGGAATTCGAGCGCTGAAGAAGCACGATGTGTACACTTCATTCACGTAGGACTGGGGGGCTTGACATGTCACAAATGGTCACTGAACCTTACCGCCCTTCTCTACTTTTAGTTTCGGATGCTGATAGGACAAATCACTGCAGCGGATGAGGAGGCTGCAACTTTTCATTTTGTAACCATTTTTCTTTGTCTTCATGATTTAAGTTGAAATATGAGCTCTGGATAAACAGCTCCCTCTATTTGTCGAGAAAAGTTATTGATCAGGTAACAGCTGTGACCAGGTAGCAAATTTACATTCAAGGCACATAGCACGACTACTTCTCCAGAGCGAAGCAATCGGAGGAAGGAAGAGCGGGCATCAAACAAACAGGCTGTACCGAGTTCAACGCACGACACTGCCATGAAGAGGAACTGGCTTAACAATCCATGCGGGGCCCCACCTAGCCCCCAAGGACGAGCCCTGGGTTCTAGATTTAGCATCTTCCCTCATGGTCCGCGTCCATCTCATTCGTAGTCATCTCATTCACCTCCGACCCTCTTCTTTCTCTTTTCCATCAGCATCTCTCACCTTCCTGTTTGCCTCCTATATTCTCCACAGCCCAGAATAAGGAGCTTTAATGATCTAGGCGGTTTCTTTTCTTTTCTCGTTCTCCTATTATTGGTTCACTTACGACCTTAAAATCATTTTGAGTAGAGTAGCTATGTGGTAGCCAAGTGGAGAACAAAACCAAGGGTAAGGTTTACGAGGAGCTCTAGTTGCCGCCAATTAGACTCATAACCTATAAACCTTACTGCTTCAGAAACGCCCGGCTCCTAAGCCTTCTTCTTGTCCCTAGCGGTAATCCCGCGCAGTCGCAGGTCCCGCTTGTTGTTGGGTTTGTCATATCGGCTGCTTCCTTTGCCGTGGCCCTGACTTCAGTGGGGTCTCTCTTTATGACGTTCCAGCCAGCTGCTCGTGGCTGCACCTCAAAGTATAGATCCTACCTTATCGAGTGATCCTGTTGCCTTTTTAGCCCGTGCTATCGCAAACGCAGGCATCCTGGTTTCTGACCCTGTCCAGTGGCACGCCCATCTCAACACCCTCACTTTGATGAGAAGCTGGTTCTAGTTCAGAATCCATGCCTTAACTGCATGGTCCTGGCTACGGTCACTGGCAGATCGCTTCCAAGGTTCTCCACTCTCTCGATATTTTCTCCATGGCCATCGACGATCAGTTCTTCGCACCCTTCACAGCTTATGAACTTAGTCGACTTCACGTCAGTATTAAAGTCACCCTGAGCTCTTACGCTCATTGCCTTTAAGGACTAGTTGTATCGCGCCACTGGGTTGATGCAAGGCTAGTTTGCCTTTCAGTGGCAGTTCAGTAGTTCTTCGCCTGAAGGTAAAGCCGTCTGACATCAGTAAGTGGATGCAGAAAGAAGTACTGGCAGAAATTCCCCAGACGCCTGGGCCGAACCGAATCTAACGATCTTAGAGCTGCAACGCAAGCTATCTACAGAGACCCAATAAGTATGGTAACAAAGAAAGATAGCACAGAAATCGCAATTAGAACTAAAGCACGACAAATCTCTGAATTAAGCCAGCCATCATCCTGCCATTGATACAGTTAGGGTTCAGACATCCTGAAAGTGACTGCACCGGAGCCAGCGGCATACATATATTGGAAGTACATATATTCATCACCAAGACCAGAACGTTGCACTGTCTTCAATAACAGCGGTGCCGGTACCATAGTTCACATGTCGGGTAAAGGGGAAGGTATTCGTGGTGAAGGATCTCTTCGTGAGAAGCGTCACGCATTCTTCTCTTGTTGAAAATTGTAGTTATTTGAATGCGATGTAGTGAACATATTCATTTGCGGGGTCAACCGTATCACAAGCCAGTGTTTTTATCCTCGCAAGTCTGGTAGCAATTGATTATCTCCGGAAGAGTGGAAGGCTTCGTTAGCATAGGCGCGACTCGAACCGGCATTTGGCTTCCGGAGCGTGTTCGTGGTAAGTGGCGCCACTTGTCGCTACACCAACATCCGTCTATCACTCACATAGAGTCGATTAGATGGTACGTTCTCTAAAGTCTACAGGATCACGTCATCTAATTCTAATCTTTCTTTTATACTTTTTTTTCTAGTTTCTAATCAATTCTAATTGGTGGTATGGCGCGAGATTGCTCTGATGAGAGGCCACAATTTGGGAGCGCTTCTTCTTGTCCTGCTCTAGGTTATCGGCTTTCTCCATATATCAAAAAATAGTACACTTTCGTTCCAATTCACGCCACATCGTACTGTGACGTGACGCAAATTTCTGAATCTTCGC